TGTAAAGACAGTTTGTGATGGACAATATTTACATACTTTTCAACACAAAAATGGTGCCATGCCTATCACAAATCTAATGGCAGGTGACAGAATTATTTTAAGTGGAGAAGAGAGAACACTATTTGCTTTGTCTAGGGGATATGTGAAGGAGATTAACATGACAATGGTAACCTGTTTATTAGATAGGTAATGAAATACTCCTTTTGGAGGAGAGCTTAATTGATGTATAAATCGCATTCCATATAGTTCATCCATTTAATGTGTACAATTCAGTGGTATTTAGTGTATTCATAGATTATACAACCGTCACTAAAATAAATTTTACAACTTTCATCACCCCAGAAAGAAGCCCTGTACCCTTTAGCAGTCACTCCCTCAGCCCTAGATAACCACCAGTTTCCTTTCTGTCTCTATAGATTTTATTTTTTATTTTTTTATGCTGAGCCATCCTGCCACCTGTTGGCAGCTCAGCAGCAGCTCAGCTCAGGCCAGAAATCGAACTGCTAGTTGCTAAATGCTCACACTCTTGAGCAAGCTCTTAACCAACTGAGCCACTCGGCTGGCCCCTGTCTCTATAGATTTACCTGTTCTGAACATTTTATATAAAGGGGATCACAATATGTGATCTTTTGTGACTGGCTTTTTTCCACCTAGCTTAACTGTTTGTGAGGTTCATTTTCATGTGATATGTATAAGTATTTTATTTCTCTTAAAAACTTAAGGTAAAATTCACATAACATAAAATTGACCATTAACCATTTTAAAACTCAGTTCAGTGGCAGTTAGTACATTCACAGTATTGTGCAACCATCACCTCTGTCTGGTTCTTAAGACACTTTCATCACCCTGAAAAGAAACGTCATATCCATTAAGCAGTCACTCCCTACTCACCTTTCCCTCCAGCGCCTGACAGCAACTAATTTTTCTGTCCCTATGGATTTATCTATTCTTGGTATTTCATACAAATAGAATCATATAATATGTGACTTTTTTTTTGGTCTGGCTTCTTTTACTTAGCATAATGTTTATGAGGTTCATCCACATTACAGCATTTATCAGTCCCTCATTTCTTTTTATAGCTGAATAACATGGTGGTATGTGGCTAGACCCCATTTTGTTCATCCATTCACCAGCTGATGGGTATTTGAGTTGTTTCCAGTTTTTGGATGTTATGACTAGTATTGCTTTAAGTATTCACATACAAATTTTTATGTTAATATATTTATTTCTCTTTGTTGATATCTTGTAGTGGAATTGCTGGGTCAGGTTAAATACAAAATACTAATTTTGCATTTAGCATTTTGAAGACCTTCCAAACTGCTCAACTTTTTAGTACATCACATTCCATAGTGCTGTGGATATAGTCTTATCTAATTTTCTTAACCACATGTATGGCAGGCAGGATAGATACTGTGTTAACTATAAAGCTATTTCTCCTTGGCACTCTGGGTACTCACCATTTTGTTCTTTTTTTCTTCTTATTTTCAAGAAAATGTTGTTTTCATTTATAGTTGCACTATAAAGTATATCTCAGTTAAAACAAAGTGGGTTGATTTAAAGAAAAATTGTAAGTAAATAGTAGAATAGTTGGTATGAAATTTTGTGGTAGAGACCAACATCCATATTGCCCCCTTTCTGTACTCTCAGCCTTCCTTGCATTTCAGCCAAACATGCATCGCCATTTCTTTCTTTCTTTCTTTTTTAAAAATTATACTGGAGAAGGGGAACACTGTGTCCAGGACCCATCAGCTCCAAGTCAAGTTGTTGTCCTTCAATCTTAGTTGTGGAGGGCGCAAACTGAGCTCCAAGTCCAGTCACTGCTTTCAATCTTAGTTGCGGGGGGCACAGCCCACCATTCCGTGTGGAAGTCAAACAGGCAACCTTGTTGTTAAGAGCATACGCTGTCACCAACTGAACGGCTGCTCAGCTCAACGTGCTATGTTTAGTCTTAGTTGGGGGGGCGGGGGAAACGTAGCTTACCATCCCATGCGGGAGTTGAACTGGCAACCTTGTTAAGAGCACGTGCTCTCACCAGCTGAGCCATCCTGCCACCTGTTGGCAGCTCAGTGGCAGCTCACCTCAGGTGCAGCTCACTGGCCCATGTGGGAATCCAACCGGCGACCCTGTTGCTCAGAGCTCGCGCTGTAATCAACTGCGCCACCCCGCCTTTCTACCATTTCTTAATGGATGGAATTCAGCAACTGGATGAAGTGACTTCTGGGTAACTGCAGTGATAATGTCCAGGCTTGTTCACTACCAATCAGTAATCCTAGTTAAGCTGTAACCAACCCTAGTTTATGTTTCATGATATGGGAGTATGAGCCACAATATTTGTGTTGTTTATTAGGAGATTCTGCAGTCCCTTGCAGTATTTGTTTAGTGACTACCATGTATGAGGTGTGTTGCAAATCCTTGTGGGTAGACAAATATGTGAATATATTTTCAGTCTCCTATGACAAGTGTTCAAATAGATGGGAACACCAAGAAGAGGCATTTAACCCAATTTTAGGAGTCTTAGGGAAGGCTGTTTGAAAGAGGTCATCCTGGATCTTCACCATCCTGTGGATTAATAAATTAGCCTGGTGAAGCAATGTGGGAATAGTATACCAGACAGAGGGACATGATACGTAAAGCCGTGATGGTGTGATAGAGTATGAAGTGGAGTATACAGGAAAGTGCAGGGAATTGTTTCTGGAATGTAAAAGATAAAGAAGGGAGTGAGTGGAGAGGCCAGGTTATAGAAGGTCTTATATAACATGTTAAGAAGTTTTGACTTTATTTATTCAAATGTATTGAAGAATTTTAAGCAGAGAATGATAATAATCAGACTTCCTTTTTTCTGTGGATATACTATGGAGAGCCGAGTTAATTAATGGAGGCAAAACTAAAAGCAGAGAAACCAGGAGACTGTTGTAGTGGCCCAGGCTAGAGGTGATTGAGGGCAGGATAGGTTTGTCAGAGAGAAGTATTTAGAAGGTAAAACTGGCTGGCATTTGGATACTCATTGGACATGCAGGTTGGAAAGAGGGAGAGGGAAGGAAGAAGGCAGCCATGTAGACGAAGTACTGTTAACTGACTGAGGTTAACAGAAGGAAGATACAGTTCTGCAGGGACTAAGAGTTGTTTAGTTTCAAATATGTTTAGCTTTCATAACCCAGGTTTTAACCAGTGGAAAGATCTTGCTGCCTGTTGGATATCCGAACTGGAAGCTTGGGTGGGGAACCAGGTAGGAGAGGAATGTGAGGCTAGGCAGAAAGCATAGGACCAAAGGGAACATAAAAGAAGGAGCAGTACAGAGGACCAGGAAGGGGACCTTAGAGGTCCCCAGGGCTTTAGGTGTTGCTAGAGGAGCGGTAGAAGGCTTCAGGAAAGAGACCTATACTCCAGGTTGGAGGAGTGGGGAGCCATGTGCCCAGGATCCTTCCTGGGGTAGTGAGCCCGGGTTAGATTTCAAGGCCCAGTGAATTGTCAGCAAATGTAGGTTCCTGAATATTACTTTCTTTAA